CAAAAAAAAAAACGCTACTAAAACCAAAAAAAACGCCACTAAAACAAAAAAACCCGCTACTAAAACAAACAAAAAACGCTACTAAAACTAAAAAACCCACTGTGTTTCCCCCACAGCCAAGAGGAAGGCCTGGGCCCAGGCATGTTGCTACAGGCGGTGCGCTCCTTCCTTCACTTCTCTCAGATCAGCTCCTGGCTCTTCACCTCTGGCGGACGTCTGCCCTCCCTGCTCGCCTACAGGTACGTGTGTGTTTAGGCGCGCGCGCATGTGTGTGTGTGCGCGTACGTGTACGTGTGTGTGTGTGCGCGTACGTGTACGTGTGTGTGTGTGCGCGTATGTGTGTGTGTGTATGTGTGTGCATGTGGGCGTATGTGTGTGTGTGCGTACGTGTATGTGTGTGCGTGTGTGCGTGCGTGTACGTGTGTGTGTGTATGTGTGTGCATGTGGGCATACGTGTGTGTGTGCATGTGCGCGTACATATATATGTATGTGCGTGTGCGTGTACGTGTGTGTGTGGCTTCTCTGATAAACAGATAATAAAAGGGGCGTTCTATTTCAAATAAGTCTCTACCCGGACTACGGAGGAATTGTCATACAAAAACAAAACATCGTTGGTGTTGCAATCGTTGCACTTTACCCTATCCATACGTCGTGTTTTACTATCACGTTAAAAAAACTCCTCAATTTTTCCTGATTGATAAAACTCCAATTGCTTAAACTATAAAAAGACACTGCTAAAACATATAGAAAAAATTGATGACCAGTATCAAGCTGAGAAATGAACCGTTGAGGAAAAACCAACTGGTTTCGCGCGCTCATATGACCTTATGCAGTTGCGAGCGCCGTAAAAACCCCATACTAAAACAATAAAACGTATCTGTGAACTGTTCTCTTCTCCTGATAGATAAAACTCTAATGACTAAAACTGTAAAAAGCCATCGGTAAAACATATCTGTGAACTGTTCTATTCCCCCAGGATCTGCGCCCCGGGCGACGAGATGAGCAACGAGTTTGAGAGCCCCCCAGAGCCGCACACCTTCCCAGTGTGCCTCACCAGCCACCACCGCGTGCTGGTGTCGGTCCAGTCTCTGCGCCGCCAGGGTTCGGTTCCCGTTCTGCACTGCGCCAACACCACCACCACCTCCGGCGAGGGCCCCACAGCCAAGTTGGCGGTGGGTCGGGATGTTGTCTTTCCGAAGAATGACGGGAAGGGAGACAGACGCTCGGGAATTGTGGGTCGTGACGGCAGGAAGAAAGCGGATGTGGTCAAAAAGTTTGGTGGTTCCGAGGCGGCTAATGGTAGCTCGGCGAAGCAGTCGGAGAGAGGGGTGGTGGTGGAGAGTGCGTATACCTCCAGCAGTTTTCAAGTGCGGCCGAAAAAGTATGAGCTGTCTTCGGGGACGGATTTGAGTAGGACCAGGAAATCTTTGCTGTCCGAGGCGTGCGTCAGAGGTGACTGCAACATGGGTTCCTCTTCTTGCCAGGCAGCGATGTTGGAAAAATCTCTCGTCTCGACTTACGGAAAGAGTTCGGCGGGCACTTCGTCGAACGGAGCAAACATTGGCAGCAGGTTGGGTGATGATGTCATGTCGGAACGCACTTCGGGATCCGATTCGGGGAACGGGTTTCTGAACAACAGCCATCCTTCCATCCGGCCATCCAAGCAGTGGATCAAGAAGAACGCGGACGAGGGATCCTCGGATGTGTATTTCCGAAACCTGGACCGCCTCGACGCGCTCAGTTTCGGGATGGAACCGTCGAGCAGGCCGGGCAGGAAGCAGTTTGAGATGACGGCAGCCGCGGGGGATGGGTGTGAGCTGGAGGCCAAATCTGGTGGGGTCGCGGCCAGGGTCAAAAGGTCGAGTCGGCTGCTGAAGAAGGATGGAGAGAAGGATCTGAGAATCGAACAAATGAAATCCCAGGTTGCCAAGGGAGTGGTTGCGCGGTGTGAGGTGGAGAATTTTTCATCTTCCAAGTTCGAGGAACGAGATGAGACGAACTTCTGGGAGAAGCGATCTTCTTACCCTCTGCGTGATCCGAGACTGAGCCTTTTGGGACAGAGGCTTGGGGTCAAGAACGATGGCCTTGACATTGAAAGCCCGTCAGGAGTGGCCCCGAAATCTGATGCCTCGGGTGGAAGTTGGTTCCGAAATGATAAGCCGTTGTCTAGTACGGAGAGGAAGAAAGATGAAATAGCCCAGAAAGACGAGATGGAAGAGGAGTTTATCCGCAAACTCTCGGAGCGTCTGGCGCTCGTAGGTTCGTCTTCGGAGAAGCAGAGAAATGACAGCTGGTGGAAATTTTACGAGGGGAAGACGGAGAAGCTCCGATTGGTGTCGGGGGCGGGAAAGAGACCGGCTGATTTGACTGGCCAGAGAAACGAGTGGAACGCCTCTGTGGATGTGAATGCAAACTGTCCCCACGCCTCGCCGAGGCTGCCGGAGATGCCGGAAACGGCGGTGACGAAACTCCGCGAGTTGTCCCCCCTGACGGTGTCTGTCTCCGACCTGGATGTGGACTCAGACTGTACCCCAGTCGCTTCCCCTGACTCCACGCCACGGTCAGCTCGGGCCGCGGCCGACTCGCTGGGGCGGTCAATCGCCGAACGCAACATGAAGCAGCACCTTTTTCTGTCGGGTCAGAGTTCGTTTGGCGGGAGTTCCGGATCGGATATGAACTCAAACACTTGGGTCGGTGTAGACGACGGTCGGGTGACAGAATCTCAGAACGGTCGGGAAGTAGGTCACGACGATACGCTAGAGAATCTGGACTGCAGTGACGCGTCGGAGGAGTTTCCAGATCATTTCCCTTTTCACACGAAGGACGTCTTTTCCGATGACACTGAATCGACCTACGAAGCCACAAGTCGGACAGACGAGCTTTCCATGACGAAAAACGAGGCGGACTCTGGTTTAGCGGAATCGGAGGAACTGCCACCGACTTCTCGGAGGATGTTTGAGGAGAATTTGCTGCCCTTGGTGTCGTACGACGCGAAAACGGACACCTTCAAGCAAGTGGAGCAGACCTTTAGCTCCAACGTTCTTCACTCGCCGAAAGTTCTCTTCTCCTACGACGTCCCTCACTCTCACGGCTCCAGCGGTCAGAAATGCATCGACTTTGGAAAAGCTCTCGAGACGGAATTCTTCACCTCCAAAATGGCCGACGCCTTAGGTCCGGACGGTATTGGGCGCTATCTGTCGCATATGGCCGAGATGAGTCACGTCGACGAGAGTGCGGAGAAAAGTGGGTCAGACATCGAGGTAAGCAGAGGAAACAGAGAAGACGGAGATGAAGGAATTGCAGAATGTGAGGGGAATACTGACGCCCGCAGGAGAAAACCTGAAAAGATTGTGAGCAATGGAGGGACATCTTTGAAGGTGGTGAGCTCCGATGAAACACGCGGGGCAGAGAAATGCGTCGATGTTTCAACGGCTTCTGCAGCGTGTGACGATGATAGTGGTTTGGGTTTGATTGTTTCCGACAGCGTTGAAAAGGAAAAAATGTCGAGTGAGGAGAAAGAACTGTCAGCAAAATGTGATATCCGCGCTGTGGTCAATGGAGTAAGCTGTAAGGAATCTGGGGTAGTTTCTCTTCAAAGAGAGTTTTGTTCGAGGGTGAGAAATGAGAATTCCGTCGAGGTCAAGAGAAAAGATGAGCTGGGGTTGGCAGGAACTAGACGGTGGGAAAATGACGGTGGAGGTCAGAGTGGAGCAGCAAAAGCTCGTGATGTGGTCCCCGGTAGTGGGGACGTCGGTCAAGGGTTGCCTTCTTCCCTGATGTCTGGACAGAGGTCATCAGTGACCGACCCCGTGCGTTCTGCCCGACGACAGTTGAATTACGAGAAGGGGCCGAAGAGCGCCGCGACTTACGACTTACCCACCAGCATCAGCTCTGACCTTGAAGAGACGAGGAGATCTCTCGACGAGTCGGCCACCACATGTGACCTTGACATCCTCCGTACAGCTGCCGTCACTTCGCCGACTTCTGACACGACGGAACTACATCCCCACCCTCGGCCTCCCTCCTACCCCAGTGACCTCCAAAGCTGTACGCCTCTCCAAGCAGAGCATCCTACTGCTGAGTCTGAACCATCTTCCTCCCGACAACTTGCCATCTCGTGCCCTCCTCGTCCTCAACGAGTCCTCTCACCAGTGTCCCCCAGCCTCTCCTCCTCCTCCTCAGATTCCTCATCTTCGTCCACATCCTCAATGATAAAAGCGCCAGTGATGAATATCTCCGCCCATTGCCCATCCTCCTCTACCTCTACTTCTACCTCTTCCTTCTCCTTCTCTATCTCCTCTTTTACCTCCTCCTCTACCTCCTTCCCCTCTTCCTCCTCTTCCTATACCCCCTTCCCCTCTTCCTCATCCTCCTCCTCCTCATTCCCGTCCACTAGTGTCTGTCACCAGCAGACTGAGACAGAAACAGTCGTCTCTGCCACACACAGCATCTTGCCCAGCGAAACCACGTCAGCCGATGTACCCTCGTACCTCTACACCGATGAGCCGCAAGTCAATTTAAAGACTGACTCTTTGAAGACGCCACTTCCTGTTGTGGCATGTGACACACACAAGAGTGGCGGTGCGGAGAAATGGGACAATACGAGTGGGCTGGTGCCAAAGTCGGATGAAAGCGTCGGGAAAAGCCCCCACTCTTGTGTGTTTGGTGATGAATTGGAGGACGGACCACAAATTAAATCCGCCGGTCTGAAACATCCAGTAAATCGTCCCCCCTTTGTAGAGTCTCTTGACCGCGGCGGTAGGGCCGAACAGAAATCTCAATCCAAAGCAACAGATCCAGCTGCCCTCCCACCCGGTGTTTCCATAGCAACGAATTGTGCCTCTATATCCGAAAAGGGGGACGACTCTAGCAATTTTAATGTATATCCAGACGAGACAAATAACGCGTGTTCGAATTTGGATACTGAAAGTTTGGACCGTTTCTATTTATGCGAAGGTACAGAACATCATTCTTTGTCGTCGGAGTCGGCAAATTTGAATAGTCATCTTATTTCGGACGCTTCCACCACCACCACCACCACCACCACCACCAATCGTTTGTTTGGGCTGGCTGCGCAGAATTCGACCGCCCATCCTTTTTCGGCAGGAGATGTGCAGCGCGATGATGCGCAATCTTTGTCGCAAAACTCTGGAATCCCTCTTCGTCTTTCAGCAGAAGCAACAACAACAACAACAACAACAACAACAATAATAACAACAACAACAACGCCATCTGGCGTCCCTGGCGGCAGCTCTGACAAAGATGGTCCACGTGACATTCCTTCGGATAATGCGGGCCTTTCTTCGTCTTCTTCTCTTCCTATGCAATTACGCGCTCCCTCTAATCTCCCTCATGAGTCCTGTGCCGAGGGTCGTGCGGTTTTAAGCCCTGTGTCAAATCTCATTAGTTTGAAAAGTGAACAAGTTTTGAACAATGATGTCGATGATGATGGTGGTGGTGGTGGTGCCGGTATTGAGGAGGATATGTCCACCTCATCGAGTTTGCGATCTCGTCACGTTGCTGGCTCGGTGGTGGCGACTGGTGAGAGAGAAGGTTCTGATGTTAATGTACCGCGTGGTCTTCCGTCAGAAGTTTCCGCGAACGTTGTGAATGACGACGGTGACGAAAAGAAGCTGCCCCTTGTGGTTTTCCGCGTGCAGAACGGGTTTGATTCTTCATTGGGTCAAGCGGAACAGGAGTTACGTCCCCAGATTCAGCGTGTGTCGGCTCTGGTGCAGAGAGAAACGGCTGCTGGGTTGTACCAAGGGGAGAGCAGCAGCGACAGCAGCAGCAGCAACGGTTTCGTCAACGGTGTCTCCCAGTCCCCTCTCTCGTCTGCCGGGCCCCCTCTGGTGACCGACCTTAACCTTCATCTGACCTCTCAGGGCCTTGACCTTGGCTCCTTACCTCAGCTCGAGTGCTCGTACGGCCCGCTGCAGCAGCAGGGAAGGTCTTCGTCCCAACAAATCAAGTCGGGATCGGACGAGAGGAGTCCTTTGTCGAGCAGCGCCGCGTGTCTCGCTGACATGAAAGTCGAGAGGTCGGAGTGCAGGAACGGGGTTTCTCCTTCGAAGAGTTCGGACGCCATTACGTCGGCTACCTCGGCGATTCGGGACAGGAAAGACGTAGGCGTAGCCGCGCCCGATGAGACGAGAGTCGCTCAGAACGGGAAGGGGACTCGGAGGAGGCGAGACTTCTCTGTAACCTCGCGCCACGTCGGAAAGGAGAACGTGCGGGCCGACGAGAATGGATGCCACCACGATTCGGATGTGGTGTTTTACCTCGATGAAGTGTCTTCGTCTTCTTCAGAAGTGTCGTCGTTTTCGTCGCTCAGTGCAGGAGGTGCGGGGAGTAAAGACGAAGCAGTCCTTTCTTCAACCCCGTCTCCCAGGTCCCGTCTTTCGAGCCAAATGATTACCTCCCCTACTTCCGATCTCGCCGTCGGACACGCCGTTGCCGCCGCCCCTCCCCTGGGAATCCCACGCTCCATCAGCCTCTCGATGGAAGGGGAGACAACTGCTGCCACCGCTCTGAGGCCGCTACCGCAGCGCCATCTCAGCGAAGGGGAGAGCGGCGAGATGATCCTCAACGGTGGTAGTGGTGGCGGCGGCGGTAGAGGAGGTGGTGGTGGTGGTGGTGGGGGGGCTGGGAGCAGCGACGACGACGACGACGTCCTCACCTTTGACCTCAAGTCTGAGCCCACCTCCCCGTCCCTCCGCGGGTCTCTCCCGGGCTGGAGCTCGGCCCCTCCACAGCGCACGGTGTCCACGCCCAGCGGGATGGACCTGGAGGGACAGTGCCAGGGGCAGAGACCTGCCTACAACTCATCTGTGATTCACCAGGTAATTGGGAAAGACGGAAATTAAAATGTCACTTTTATTTAGAAGGTCATTTGGAAGTAAGAAGATCAAAATGTCTCTTTTATTCAGTGGGTAATCGAGAAATCTCCTCCTCCCTTTTGTGTCTGTTACTCTCTTGTAACACCTCTAGTCTTTGGCACTTCTGTTGCAAGTGCTGAAAACAATTACTTAAAACAAAATTGTTCACTCTGTTTTTTTCTCTCTCCCCAACTTGTGCGGGTTTACAGCAAGACTGTGATAAATATGGTGTTACATGAATGTTTATATATTAGTATTTAATACATTGTTTATTCTTTTTTTTCTCTCTCTCCCCAACTTGTGGGGGTTTACAGCAAAACTGTGATAAATATGGCGCCGGTGGGCTGCGCAAGATGGCCGCCCGGAGTGCCTCCATGATCTTCAGCAGCCGTAGGGGCCTGCCTAGTCAATCTAGTCCTGTGAGTTGTTGGTGTTGTAGTTGTTGTTGGTGTTGGTGTTGTTGTGGTTGTTGTTGTTCAACAGCTGTAGGGGTCTGCCTAGTCAGTCTAGTCCTGTGAGTTGTTGTTGTTGGTGTTGTTGTGGTTGTTGTAGTGGTGGTGGTGGTTTTTGTGTTGTTGTTGTTGTTGGTGGTGGTGTCGTTGTGGTTGTTGTTGTTCAACAGCCGTAGGGGCCTGCCTAGTCAGTCTAGTCCTGTGAGTTGTTGTTGTTGGTGTTGTTGTTGTTGTTGGTGTTGTTGTTGGTGGTGGTGTTGTTGTTCAACAGCCGTAGGGGCCTGCCTAGTCAATCTAGTCCTGTGAGTTGTTGCTGTTGTTGTTGTTGTTATTTTGTGTGGTAGCCTATCCTTCCGAACTGTTTGGAGCCCTGAGGAGCGTGGTTTTTGCCTGGGCCACTGTGTCTCTTGGATAGCGAAGGTGTTGCTGTTTTTCTTCTTCTTCTTCTTCTTCTTCTTCTTCTTCTTCTTCTTCTTCTTCTTCTTCTCCTTCTTCTCCTTCTCGTCCTCCTCCTCTTTCTCCTTCTCCTTCTTCAAGTAGTTAAACGTTGCTTTCCGGTGGTTGGCGGGTGCTCTGGTGTGGTTTGCTCCTTCTTTCCTATCAAACATCTATCGCCCTTATCTCTCCTCCTTTTTTTTTGCGTGTATGTTAATCGCTGGTAACATTTCTAATCTTCCTCATATATATGACCTAATTGTTTTACAACAGCTGTAACACTCTTACTAAAATGGAACTTGGGCACCTCAATATAATGGATGGTTGGCAGATGCTGCTCTGATATGGTTCACTCCTACTTTCCCATCAAGCATCCATTGTTCATATATCTCTTCCTTTTCTTTGTTTGTATGTTATTCTCTTCCAACACCTCTAATCTTCAGCACTTATGATAATAATGGTAATAATAACAACAACAATAACGATAATAAAATTTTAAAAATAATAACAATAACAACAACAACAACAATAACAACAGGTTTCATTTACATGGTATATGTCTCTGATCAAAAGTTGGGTCTAAGCACTTTACACTTGACAACGTTTTATTCCCCAACAAGCCCTGAAACATTCTGAAACACTGTCAGCTTCCTGGGAATCAATTAGAGCAAGCTGCCCTTTTACAGACGCTCAAACACAAATAACGTATTGACAAGATCTTTCTGTTTTAACTTAAAACACTAACGTATTGACAAGATCTTTCTCTAGGCTCAAACACTGACACACTGACAAAATCTTTTCTTTTCTCAGCTCAAACATCAACATACAGACAACATATTTCCCTGTTTTAGCTCAAACATCAACATACTGACAAGATATTTCCCTGTTTTAGCTCAAACATCAACATACTGACAAGATATTTCCCTGTTTTAGCTCAAATATCAACATACTGACAAGATATTTCCCTGTTTTAGCTCAAACACTAATATAATGACAAGATCCTCCACTGCCTTAGCTCAAACATTGA